TGTCGCCGCGGCGGCGGCTGGTTGCCGGTGCTGCCGCTTGCCCTCTCTGATCCCCTTGTACATGACGAGGCACCTCTAACCCAGGGCTTTGTGTTTTGTTATAAGTAATTTCCCTCTTAAACCCCCCCCCGCCTTTTCCTTTTCTTTTCTCCCTCCGAATCCTCTTTCCTTCTCTCTCTCTCTGATCGCGGGAGCAGCGAGGAGTCGGGGACGGGGTTGGGTTTGATTTACCTTCTCTCCCTCCTTTTTTTTTAATTTTCCTGGATGTTGATGTGTAATTCCTAGGGATGCCTTCGGTGCTGGGGAAGGAGCCGATCCATGAGGGGAGGAGGAAGAGGTGAAGCTGCCGAGAAGCTGGTGGTGGTGGTTCCGAGGGCGCGGGGGGGAAAGAAAAGAGGAGGAGGGGGGGCGAAAGGCTTTGCCCAAGGTGGAGGGCTGGTGCAAGGCAGGGCAGCACCTTCGACCCTCAAGGATCCTTGGGAGTGCAGAGCGGAGGGGAGGCGAGGGAGGAAGAAGGAGCGGAGAGGGAGGAGAAGGAAAGAAGGCAGGAGAGAGAGAGAACGAGAAAGAGCCAGAAAGGAGCTCAACCTCGATCCGGAGCGAGGGAGAAAAAAAGCGAGCGAGCGCGAGAGGAAAGGGAGCGCGAAGGAGGAAGAGAGAGAGAGCAGTGCAGTGAGTAAAGACTGCCACTGGGGTCAGGGAGCAGAGCACCAGGAAACAGGGCGGCCAAGGCGCTCCCCCCCACACACACATATGCGCGCGCACACACAAGCACACACACACACACACACACACACACACACACGCCTTGCCAGCTCCTCCTTGCTCTTACTGCTCCTTCTTACTTCGCCTCCCTCTTCCCGGCCAAAAGAAGAAAAAAAGCAAAGCAAGGAAGGAACACATCTCCTGCCAAAATACAGTACCGTACGACAAAAACCTTTTGGCCCTTTTTCCGGAAAGCTTTAAAGGCGAGCAAGAGGACTGTTAGGTCATGGAAGACCCCCAAAGGGACAGGGTGGAAGGTGCCCGGGAGAGCGTAAGAACCCCTCGATGGCTCCCTCGCCATGGCTTTGTCATAAGGTTAATTAACGGGAGTGTTTTGTGGGGACCGAGAGGGTGGCCTATTTTTTCCCTCATTTTTTGTGCGTGCAAGAAAAACTATTTTCCCCCCAGATGTTTTGTGCGCGGCGGGAATTAATATGAGGACTACATGGAGGCTTAATAAATTGAAATTAGTGCGAACACATGCTGAGCCTAAATAAATTTAGGTAAGGAACAATGGAAATAACGCCCCATTCGTGAACGCATTTCTATAGAGGGATGTAATCTCTTGCATTGGTATGTCCATGGCCGTTATGAGGTGTGCATTTCCCCAAATTAAGGAGGATTTCAAAGTGTTTTGGGAGGAGAAAACAAAACAAATGGCAGGCATAGCATTTCTACAAAGTCCAGACTCTGAAATAAAATGACCTGGAATGAAAAAAAAAAGCTATCACTGCATAGGAAGGAAGCAACAATTTGAGGTGGTGAACTACCACCCACCTGTAATACGGATGACCTGCACTTTTCTTTTTTACTGCCTCGCAGATGAAGCAGGACACAGGACAACACTACGAATGTTTTTTTCAGTACTGTAGTGTTCACTACAATTCAACCAAACAGGCCTACTCTAAAGTAAGTTTTTTTACTGCCTCGCAGATGAAGCAGGACAACACTACGAATGTTTTTTTCAATACTGTAGTGTTCACTACAATTCAACCAATCAGGCCTACTCTAAAGTAAGTTCTCCTGTGTTCTCCTTAATTTGGGGCTTACTCTGAACTAAGTGTGTAATGGACTGCAGGTAGACTCTTAAAAACAGAATCAACCAAAGTTAGGAACAATGAGAATGATGTCTAGGGGAAAAAATCAAATGCAGAAATGTTTGAGAGTAGTAAGAAGAAAAGAATATGCAGATTTCTTGTTGTTGTTACTAGTAAGATTGGGTACCCTAACTAATAATGATGCCAATAAAAATGTGCACCTTACTCAGACTTAAAAATCAGTGAGATACAGTATTTTATGTTTCCTTATGTAGACAAAATGGAACAACTCTCAGGACAGGAAATGGAAATACGTACATCTTAAGAGTCCAAGGCTTATGTAACATTTTAGCATTGAACCAAACCAGCTTTCCGCCCCGCCTTGCACAGTGAATACAGTAAAAAACAAAACACAGTACTTTAAAATGGAATACATTTTATCTCTGCTAGGAACCTTGTGCATTAGTGATGGCAGGTAAAGTGAGACTGGTAGAGGGTTTTAACCATAATATAGGTATGATTGCTACTACATAATCACCCATATCAGACTAAATTGGTAAGATTGCAAGTCATAGTGGAAGGGCCAAAGCTTTAAGGTTTGTGAATAGCCTTGACCATAAGTACAATTCAAATTAAAACTACAGTATTGTTAAATAATTATCAGAAGATTAGTGAAGAAAAGTTAAGATCAATACTAAGAAATCTCTTCATTGCATGATTTTCACTGCTTTTTAATTATGTTGCTGTAAATACTGTGACTTGAGCCATAATTCTGGTCTTTCTGGGGCTCAGGATAGTAAAGAATACTGGAAGCTTTTCACAAGATTTTTGAGATGAAAAAGAAATGCGTGTTCCTTGATAGGGGCCGGCTCAATGACCTGGAGAGGTCCCTTCTAGTTCTGCAGTTCTAAGACTAAGATTATTTACCACCACCACCCACTTTCCTCCCAAGAAGAAGCACAAGACAGCGAAAAAACAATTGGTTCTGTTGTAGTTGCGTTATATAGTATTACTTTATCACTATGATAAAAATAAATGTAGAAATTTCTTTCATGTTGTACTGGTTACATATTTCAGTGTTTTTCTTTAAAGTATATTTGCTTATTTATAGCACACATTTCAAATCAAAAAGCCTTTACAAACAGCTCATAATATTAAATTGGTGTAAATACTATTTTAAAGGTTGAACATAATGAACAGTAACATTTAAAATAACACATGTAGTGCAGTTTTGTGTATTTTACTAAGATATCAGTCGTGCTGAGTCCTTTGGGGCTATTCTTAGATAGCTGTACAATTACAGCTTTGATTTCTTGCAGATCATCATAATAGTAATTCTGTTGTAGAACCAAGAAAATATAAACATTTTTGATTAAAGGAAACAGTAATTCTAATAGTATCTATTCAATTCTGCCACAGTGATTCTCCTCCTCCACCGTCATTTGAGAGTAAATACCTGTTTTCAATTTAAGTACATACACTAGGCTGTTTCAGTACACACATACTTGTCTTAATACAGTAGCCACCCCATAAATATCAGATATCTCCAGCAAGAGAGGTGTTTGCTCTTATTTTGTACTTTTCCCCAAATAAACTCTATCAGAGCAAGAGATTTGGTCAACGGTGTAAATGAACCAGGCATACAGAAGCTAAGGTCAAGAAGGAAACGAATTCAGAAAATATTCTTGAGTGCTAGATAGCACATTTTTATTTATTTATTTATTTATTTTATTAGTTTGGAAATGCTTTCAGTTAAGAACATAATCAAGGACAGAAATTGTAGCAATTAGAACCACTGAAGAAAATGAAACAGAATTTCAGTATTTACTGCAATTTCACATTTTAAAATATTACCCTCTATGTCTTATTCTGAAATATCAACTGCTTCATCTGATGCATCTCACAAAGTCTGCTTTAGTCCATGAAAGCTTATGCCTCAATGAATCTGTTGGCTTTTAAGGTGCTACAAGCCTCTTTGTTTTCAAGGAACATGGGGAGGGGGGAGGTTTGACATGTACATCCCTACCATCCTGCAATTGTTCCATATCATAGGAGAATTCCAGACATGACAGAATCCTAAACCCATTAATCCATCTGATTTTCAAGTGAGTTTGAAATTCTAATGAGAATGTGACTTTTTCATCACTCTAGTCCTTTTTATCCAGAGACAAGGAATGAGCAGTAGTACTGTAATTGTCCCCAGTGCTGTTAGAGTACAGTAGTAAGAAGGGAACAGCAAACAACAGTGAGACAGAGGCTTCACCTGATGTCATCTGAGTTTTTTCTGTTTGCAGCATCAGAAACTTTCTGATATTGGACATCTGGTGCTTTGTTCTTTTTAAATTAGATTAGATAATGTAGCTGATATGTGACAGTCCCATTTGGCCTCTGGAGAAAGAAAAAAGTTCCAAATGGAGCCAACAAAGAGGCAAAATTTAGTATTTTCAACATTTAACATAGTTCTTCCTGGCAGACAGCAGCAATGGTTTGCACTGATTACTGATGGAAGAAGAAAGTGCAAAAGCAGAGCTGCAGTTGAACATTAAGAAGAAGAAAATCACAACTACAGAAGAATTATGTATATTTAATAACAATTAAGAAATAAAAGTTGCTAAAGATTTTCTATTTCTTGGTTCAGTCGTGACTCCAAATGTAAACTGCATCCAAGAGATCAGAAGAAAACTGAGATTTGAAGGGGAAGTATGAAAGATCTAGAAAGGATCTTTAAAAGTTAGGATGTGTCAGAGGATACCAAGATCATATATATTTATATTAATCCTGACTACTGTGTAGCAATGTAAACACTGGAAAGTGAAAATAACTAACAGGAAAACGATCAATTCATTCAAAATATGTTCTTGGAGTAGAGCTTTATAGTTACAATTCATGGTGAGAAAGACAAATAACTGGATGCTAGCTCAAATCAAGCTTGAATTCTTTGTAAAAGTGGAAATGATTAAACTGAGATTATCATACTTGGGCACATCATGAAAAGACAAAATTCACTTTTCCAATGGGAAAAGTAGGAGGCAGCAGGAAAAAAGACTGAACATGAGATAGATTGACTCAATAAAATCAGCCACTGCTTTTATTTTGAGAAAAGCTATTAAAGATAGGGCTTTTAGAAGTCACTAATTCATAGGTTTCAATAAATTGGAAGCTATAGTAATGTGAAAAACAAAGTACACTCTTGTATGAATTCTATGTTTTTACACATCAGGACATAATAAAAATCATCTGGTCCTTAGCAGGTCTGAAAATTAGGTAAACACAAGCTCAGATGAAAACATGACATATTACACCATGTCATGATTTATTTCTCAAAACTAAAGCTGAAATGGAGAACCCTATTTCCAAACAATTAAAAAGCCATCCTTCTACAGTGAGGAAGATTATTCACAAGTGGAAAACATTCAAGACAGTTGTCAATCTTCCCAGGAGTGGATGTCCAAACAAATTCATCCCAAAGTCAGACCATGTTCAGAGTAATTGCAAAAAAAAAAAAAAAAAAGAGTTACATCTTGGACTCTACAGGCCTCAGTTAGCATGTGAAATCTTAAAGTTCATGACAGTACAATTAGAAAAAAAATCCTGAACAAGTATGGTTTGGAAGGATGCCAGGAGAAAGCCTCTTCTCTCTAAAAAGAATGTGGCAGCACGGCTTCGATTTGCAAAGTTGCACCTGGACAAACCACAAGACTTCTGGAACAATGTCCTTTGGGCAGACGAGAGCAAAGTGGAGATGTTTCGCCAGAATGCACAGTGCCACGTTTGGCAAAAATCAAACACAGCACACCAGCAAAAACACCTCATACCAACTGTCGAGCACAGTGGTGGAGCAGTGATGATTTGGGCTTGTTTTGCAGCCACAGGACCTGGGCACCTTGCAGTCATTAAA